GTGATCTTTGAAGGCTCCAATCTATAACATTTTATGTTAACGCCACTTTGAAAATGCCTCTGGGTGAGAAGTTGAATTTTAAAGCTCCCAACAAGGGTTTTGTCATAATAAAGTAATAAACTGTGCCACAGACACATGTATTCTGAAACATAGAGAAGGCAATATATATAATGAGCTCCGTGTAATATTCAGTGACGCGTTTACCGACTTTGCACCATCCCTCCTGTTGACCACCTCTGTTGGTCAGCCATGGCATTTACAATGGTGAACTGTACAACCTAGTAGTAGTAAGCGTCTAAGACTTACATTTGATTAGCATAGATTAGTAGACCCCTACTTGCGACTCTTTTGTGGTTGGTGGAAGAGACTTATTTTTATCTTTTTTTTTAAGTGTTATCATAACATGGGGAGAGAGTAAATCCCAGGAAGAAAAAAAAAAGAGGAAGGAAATCAAATCTCATAGAAATAAGACTTCGTTGTCTTACTAGATCCCCGTTTACAGGGGTCGCCCGAATCAGGTCTGAAGATCTAATGTCGACCTGTGAAAGTAGATCGCTGGTGCGATCAATGCCCCTTATTGACTTTCTTCCTTTCCCTGTGAAGTATAGTCGGAACAATCCTGCTAACAATACACGAGGGCTCTCCACAGTATCGAAAAACAAAAGGGAAAGGAGGAGAAAGCCCGGATTATGTTCCCCTCACTTTTGAAAAGTAAGCTTACAAGAGAAAAGGAAAGAAGAAAAACGCTGAAGTGTTTCATATTGTGCGCTACTGCTTTTTTAGTATGGAACTGAAATGCTCTATAGTTTTCTAGCCTTTCCAAAGAAAGGGGATTTTATTTCAATATGGTCCGTGGCTTAAATCCAAATGCATGTACATAAGACTATTTTTTGGGTGGACTGACACCTAATAGGAATACAAAATAAATGTACAAGTATTTCATTACAATGACTATTTGTGATAATTTAATAGGTCACGTTTTTCTTGTTTCGTAGATCTACTGATGAATAAAATAATAATATGAAGAGTTTTGTTGTTACAATTTAATTTGTTTTCGGCTTCATGTACTTTCGATTTCCCTAGTGTATTTTGTTTCTGTACCGGTATTTCAAACTAAAAAAACCTATTTGGCGTTTACAGATGGTAGAGTAACCGCATTTGAATATAGAGTCTGGGAAGACTCGCCTTGCTCTAAGATGTATATGTATTTAATTTGTTTTTAAAAGATTGATATTGTGCTTCTCGTCTATGTTGCGCCAAACACATCATGGGCACGAAGCTACTTTCTAATATTTAGTAATGCTGCACGTCCTTAATGTGTTGGACTCAAACTCCATATCGCAGCACTTGCCTCAAAGAAGTTAGTGGTATCTGCAAAGTTAACTTCTCTAGCGAAGACATCTTGTGGATGCAAGCAATGCAAAGTGAGAACGAGAAAAAGTAACGTTTTCCTTGCGGTCTTCTGGTCTCTCCTTTTCACAAGCACTCTGTGCTAACGACGTGGGTCTGTGATGAAATTCTTAGTCCTTTCGCCGCTTCTCACAGAAGACTTGAGTTCAGTTCCCTAAGAAAGGAAGTCTTTTTATTAATTCAAATATCTTCGCCTCTCTGTCAGGACGTTGTACTCAGCTCTGCGTGGATTGATGTTGTGTAAAAGCAGGGGTGAAGCAGAAAGCCTTCTAAATGATTTACATTGTGTTGACTGCGACCAAAAACATTTACAATCATTTTAATTTCTGATCCAGTAATCGCGGACCTCGATCCTGAGAAAGTATTATAAGTTTTATGCCTTTATTGTTTATTTGTCTGTTAGTTGTTTTAAATTTATTTACTTTGTAAATATACCGACAAATGCAAGCACGGTGTATATTATTGGAACTTTCGCTGTGTGTGATTGTCTTAGATGATGTTTGACCTCAAAATTAAAGACACCAGAGTACCAAAGTCAACTCAAAAGCACAGATCCTGTATCTCCCATTGGACACACAGACAAACACACACACACACACACACACGCGCGCGCGCGCGCGCACACACACACACACACACACACACACACACACACACACACACACACACGCGCGCGCATACACATACACACACACATGTAGTATTCTTACACCTGAAGGCTATACTATATAAACAAACTTAAAAGAAACAACAAACATGGGATATCATTTAATATAGATTTACTACCAATGTAATAACAAGAACACGCATAACAGTACACACAAAGACTGGTTAGCGGGAGAAATCTTTGTTTGGAGGAATTATTTACAATTCATTCCCGTCCCTGTGAGCTGCTGTGTCTACGTGTATATGTATATTTTTGGACTTATAAGCAGATGTAAAAAGATCAAGAAATTCATCTGTTCAAATTAATATCTGAAATATATCATTACACCCAATGCTAAATGTACCACCGATTATTAAACGAAAAATTGCTATAGCTCCATAGTTTCAATAAAATTAATCAAGTCCTGAAACGTAGGAACATCCTTATAATGTTTGCTAAAACATTACAGGTTCTTAAAATTATTTCTGTGGTCAACCCTTCCGCACTACCAACGACAGTGAAAATAAAATATAAGCAACAGAAATGTGCTTTATTTGAAGACTTGTGAGAATTTCATGAAACAAAGAGAAATCAAACGACGTGGTAGAGAGAGAGAGAGAGAGAGAGAGAGAGAGAGAGAGAGAGAGAGAGAGAGAGAGAGAGAGAGAGAGAGAGATGCCTACGTGAACCGCTCACGAAAGGCCTTGAACATCTTACTCTCAGTGGAAAAACAGAAGGCAAACGAGGCAGACATAGACCCAGCCAATGCATTTTACTTGGAGAAACTGCATAAATGGCAGGTGAGTGTGTGTGTGTGTGTGTGTGTGTGTGTGTGTGTGTGTGTGTGTGTGTGTGTGTGTGTGTGTGTGTGTGTGTGTGTGTGCGCGCGCGCGTGCGTGCGTAGGGAGGGATGGGGTGTTTGTTGTTGTAGTTTTAGAGCGTCGGAGCGGCGTAGAAATGAATCGCTGATGTCTGCTTCAGATCTGGCCCTTGATGATGATGATGATGATGATGATGATGATGATGATGATATGTGTGTGTTTGTAAGTAAAATAGGTGTGCATGTGTTTGGGGACAGAAAGGAGAGGGGGGGGGGCAAAGTATACCCATTAGCATGCTGAGTATTAACAACAAAATATCCATGCATTGTCAACAAACGAGCCTGCCATGACCTTCGCTTTGACTAAGTGCGCAAATACGCACGTATAAATATTTAGTATGGTAATCATTATAATTAAGTTAAAACTTCATTCTCTGTTTATTTTTAAATAGTAAAAACATTTTTTAAGCACACCAGTTAAGTTCCTAAAAGTGGTGACTCGGAAATATCATGCACTTAAAGCTTGCTCTTTTGAGAAGCCATTTGAAAGACGGGCTTGAAGTTTGGGTTGGTGAGCGCCTCTCTGTCCCAGGAAAAACCAGATACGTCATACTGTGTCTGACCATCCACTGCCATCTCGCTCAGTATCTTGCCGAGGAGGCTGGCGAATCTGGGAAATGTTCACAGGAAGTTGGAAAGGGGTGAGGGTAGAGGTATATTAAGATTACTGTGTGTCTTGGCGCAGTAATATTGATTAATTATTAAGTTGGACAACGGGTTAATGTACACATACGACCAAAGACAGACATACAGACAAACTGAGAGACAGACAGACAGACAGACAGACAGACAGACAGACAGACAGACAGACAGACAGACAAACAAGCAGGCAGACAGGCAGGCAGACAGGCAGACATGCAAACAGTGCTACTTCTTGAAGAACAGCAACAACTGAAAAACAACATGAAACACATTCTCTACCATCAACCTTACATATAAAGGATACTTTGTACCAGCATCATTTTCTCTCCTTTCGATTCCTTAGCCCCGTTTTTGCCACTTTTTCCGTCCTCCTGTTCTGCTTGGCCACCTTTTCGCTCTCTTTCGGCGCTCTCGGCCTTTAAAAATTTCTAGTTTCGGGCAGTGTGTTGATAACTATACATGTAACCTAGATATCCAAATAAACATTTTTTTAAACTCAAGAAGGAATCCCCCCTCCCCGATATAATTATACAGTATCTCGCTCTCTCCAACACACACACACTCTCTCTCTCTCTCTCTCTCT